TTCTGGCCTCTACCCGTTGACTTTTCAGGCATGACTGGATCTACGGCTGTGAAAAGCCATCCTGTGTAGCTCGCAGGGTCATGGAGGCACGCAAGCCATCACACTACGTCAAGGTGCAGTCTCGTCACTTCACAAATGAACAGTGTATCAGACCAGAAGGCAGTAGTAGCAGTAGCAGTAGTAGGCAGCAGTACCCCAGGATTAAGACACGGTAGACAGCAATCCGAACTCGACTAATGCATGCAAAGGAGCAGTGGATAATTTAATTTGTTAGGGGAAAGGAAGTTCGGCACATACCGTGGAGAAGAAAAGTGATTTACATTGCTCCTGAGAACCAACCAACGTCGAAACAGCTGTACAACAGATGCCAGACAGCTTCTCATTTTATGCTTTGATTATTTTTTAATAGGCCCAATGGTTTCATCAACTGCAACGGAGATAAAAAATTATCGAACGGTTATAAGAACCGGAAAAACCCCGGGACTTGAACTAGTGAACTATATAGGGCCCTCAATAGGATAGGACAGAGATGGTACAGAACTGGAATACATCGAAACTAAACACCATCAACGAAATATATACTTCGAGCTCATTCCGAATGAATGGGTGCAGACAGTTTTACCAGTGAGATTCAGAGTCTGGGTGAACACTTGGAAAACGTGGGCCAATTAACCTTAATTGATTTCTTTGTGGAATCAGGTGTTTTTTGTTCTCAGAACGTCTGATCACTACTGAAAAAGACATAATTGATGGGTGTGGTACGATGGTACTCTGTCTAACAATATTTCATTTCAATGAATGATTCCACTTTCATTTAATGTCACGTCACAAGTTGCACAACCAACAGTAACCGTGGAAGCTGCAGAACTTTTTATAACAACTAACATGATGGAATGGAAAGAAGAAAGGGTGATCTTTGTAGTTGTGGGGATATACTGTTCGGTTATGGTGACCGGCCAGCAAATCAGTAGGAATTGAAGTAGCGCACCGCATAAGGCCTAACTGTCTGTGCTCGTTATTGAAATTGTGATTATAACTTTGTAAGAGTGAAGTGTCAAAAGTGTACACATTAGAAAGGAAAACAGTTCGATCCCGAGACCTTAGTCTACGAAAACCTGCTCTTTGTTAAACGGAATACCTGTTAAACAGAGAGTACCCTAGAGTGGTGATATATGTTTCTGCGTGACGGAACACAGTGGTATTGGGATGAAGTTGGGATGTAACCCGGTGGATGATGAAAACCGAAGCGAGTGCCCACCAAATGTTCAATATCGATCGGTGGTCTGTTGAAATTCGATGCAATCAACCACCCAGTACGATTAAACCATAGGATCTGAGGATACTCTCGGGAATGTGATTTGCTTTTTATTTCTGATCTTTTGGTTTTGTTACACCACCCAGATAAATAACCAGAACAGACCTTATGAATTCGCTACTGCGTTCAACTAATGTATAGATATTTGATTACACTTAGAATTTCACCTCCGAAAGCCTCAGTATGGATGAGGGTGAATGTCACCGGTTGTGGCCTATTACCCTTCCTTTGCATGCTCCTCTGAACACTTTTGTACTCTGTTTTGTTAGGCACAGTCTGGACTCAGTCGCACACACACATATACATAATGTTGACCCTTTAACAAAGTCTGGTTAGATGGAGAGTGCAATTACATTTGATACTAACTTATTCGAAAATGATACAGAGATGAGTAAAGACGTTTTCAGAGACACGTAGGAGAATCAGTATATTTAGTGGGTGGTAGACTAATTCTTAAACAAAAAATTGTAAGTTAGTAGCGGTAAATCTAGAGCAGGTGTGTTCCTTGATAAGGATGCTCACAGATACACACGGCCCATCGACACCTGCCCCACTGAGCATGGTATAGCCGATTCAAAACATTGACTAAAATACCTGTCAGGTAAGCTATTTCTTTTCAAGTCTGTGAAATAAAAAGATCAAGTGTGCTAGCTTATCGGCTTAAATGTTAGAGGACCACAAAGGACACGAAACACACACGATCTAAATTATAGTTCAATGCAAAGCAAACGCCGAATAGACCTCGCGGATTACAGAATAGATTTTACATGCTGCTCCACTGACCCAGGAAACCCTTAAACAAGAGTAAAGAAGAAAATAAACCAGTTTCATAGACCACAGTGCGGCAATAGAAGGTTTCTGATCAGGCAATCTTGCCATTCGTACGAATAAGGACGAAGAGTAGGTACAGATGTGCGTTGCCAAGTTAGTAAACCTTCATCAGATAATACCATGCATGTTCCAATTTGAACTTGGGCATTTCGCTACCCGAAGCTCCGAGGTTGACGTTCCCGATCTCTATGAATATCTAGTTTCGTATACCGTTCATCAGACTGATATTTGTATCAAGAAAAACCCACAAACAGTCGAAGAGTACGCATTTTTGATTCAGAGCTCTCATTTCAATCACAAAAACAAACGGGAAGGCCGACGACAGACTCACCGATACGAATTGTGTATTTTCCGGTGGCTGTTTCTTGTTCCCCCAAATAATTCATGCATCGGTCTAAAATGTACTGTCCTTCGCGACGTCGGTCCAGGTTTGTGGATTCTAACAGGGTTATCGCTTGAGCTAAACTTCGCCGATCCCCCTGGAATAGACGCTCGGTCATTTTCTTGACTGTGTCTGGTATGGTAGATTCATCTATACCGCTTGAGGAAGGTCTGCATGTGGTACGCACACCACATGAATTAACCAAGAACACCGGAGTACTGGGATTACGCAGGAGACAATTAGAAATAGTCCTAGGTGTGCTGAGCAACGGGGAACGGAACAAACAGAGTGAACCGGGGCGGGCAATCTGGCGTAACGCGCTGAACGACATCCTCAGGATAAAATGCTGCAAAAGATAAGTTTCGAAAAGTCAATATGTAAGTACAGATGTCTTGAAATAGTGCGTGTATACCGAGTAACCAGTCTCCGGTAATGGGATGACATCAAACAGGAATAGGGTGATGGGAAAACAAACCAAATAATGTACCAGTTATATTGGACAATGACGAAGTAACGAAACAAAACGAAACGGGATATAGTTACTCATTTTAATAAGCGTCTTGAGGATCCACGCGCACGCAAGCACATAACACAAAGATACTCGAGGTTGGTGAAAATGACCGGGCACATTTGCCCAAGGCGAGCCAAACAGGCTGATAGGGTTTAGTGGAATATCAAAAATAAGAATACGGTAGCAACTTAGTTTGCATTAGGAAGGGGGTAAAGTGGAATGAGGAAAGCGGTATGCTTCGTTTGTGAAGAAATAAAAAGGGGACAGAAACGATTCGGCCGTGCTTGCTTGGTTAATCGATATGTGTCAAATGGATGCAAACAGCTATGCCAAAATGGTGGGGTAAGAAGTGAGGGTTCGTTCTTGTGAGTGGCCATTAAGTAATGTGCAGCACAACGTACAGTCAGGGGTGCGAGACAATGGGCATGCAACGACGTGGATAAATGGTTTTAATGGGAGCAAGCCGCTCAGTTTATCATTACTTTGTGTGCAAGATGAATGGATTGAACTGCAGCCCAACAAGGTGCAAATGACCAGCATGATAATATATATATTATATATTTCACACACGTCTGACGCCAGCATGATAGTAAAATGAAGATAATCGATTCAAGTTTTATGGATTGGATAATCTTGTCAGTATTTCCCAATTAACAACCCCCACCCTCTAATGATTGAGACAAACATAAAAAGGACCCGAAACATTCCAACCGAATTTTTCGTTAAGGAATTATTCATTGAAGTACTCTCGAATAGGCCAATACAATAGCATAAGGATGCCGATGTGGCCAAGATGTATACGATTCTAATAAGAACCCGTTCCGGTTGGTGGAAAATCGGCTTTCTGGTAGACAGATGCGAAGGAACGATGTTGAAATCGAACAAAAGACAAACATCCTTCACAGATATTTCTTTGATTTCAATGCGAACCACTTGCCAGAGGGGAAGAAGAATTCCCTATGAAATTATCTCACATTAGATAGCTTGAATGTGAATGGTATATGTTCAAAATGTTATAGAATAGCTACAACCTGTCTGAGAGATATGAGTTACGATCACTTATGGTAATAAACCATAATTTGCTTCTACTTAAAATTTGCGATTTGCTTTTTCTCATATGTCAACCGCCATAGAGTTAGCCCTGCAACTCTGTGGGAGGAAGATTGGCATTTTTTTGAAAAGCTGCTGCTAGTAATAAATCCATTATTAGGGTGATCACGATAAAATCAATTCATCCTTTCGGGTTACGAGATACATGACCAGCATTTTAATACCACTGTCTTAGTGTTCTGAAGTCCGCACCATAAATCAGGTGCAAAAGGCGCCGCATGTTCACAGTCACCTGAATGAGTTCCGCCAACTAAAAACAGCCGAGTTCCAAGGAAACACATTTCTTCTGATGATAGTTGTAGAATGATAGATTTATTTGGTATCCACGCATTACCGACTGTTGTTCAATCACCACGATCATTATCCAAAGTTTGATGTGAGTGAAGAAATTCAATTGCATTATATCAATTGAACATGGAAAGGGTTCGAAACCAAGAACCGGATGCCCGGCACAAGGAGGCCATATAAACGCATCGTTTATGTATACACCTGGTTGTAACCATCGATCAAATTATGTGCCACCGCCCCAGCCCTGCTGTTCACACGTTTCGCTCAGTCAATCAACCACAGTGATGCAACGCGGCGTTTTCCACCGTTTCAGATTTGAACGTGACGGTGGTCAGTTGGGGGTATGGGACACTTGATAGAATGTGTGGAAGCTGTAATTCGCCTTTGTTACCTGCATTGAACACTTTGAAGAACTGGAGTTTTAGGAATTCGGCTGCTTCAGCATTAGTAGTGAAAACGCGTCCTGCATGCCTTAGTACCGGTATTCCATATTTCACTTTTCTGGTAGCATTGATATGCTGATACAGTAGCTTTGGATTGGCAATAAATTTATGTGCCAGAGTTTCTTGAAACTTTCGTTTATCCTCTCGCACTAATTTTACACAAAGGTTTCTCAACAATATATAGTTATCCGAAGTGTCGGCGGTCAGAAATCTGAACTCTCGCCAAGAGAAATTCCTCTATGACATCCATTTCTGGGTTCGACTCCGGATAGATGATAATCGTGTAGGCAACGCACCGACAGACTTGGTTTTTGTGGCGACCGTTATGAGTTCTGTTAGTGTTTCAATGAATCTTTTCCAGGACTGCAGTGGATCTAGCGGCTATTCTGGTTGTGTCCATTGCTTGACAGTAACAAGGCTCAGTGTTTCATTGTGGTCAATAACGGTGCGTGTGTTGGTTTTCAGGCACATTTCTATTGAGGCCTGGTAAATGTAATCGAAAAGCAGAACTGCATGGTAGCTTCGTCCTAATGGAGACGTTATTACGACCGATTCGACCATAAGCTCCTCGCTTGTCAATACCAAGTTCAATGTTAATGGTTGGTGGCCTGTTCCAAACCTGGTGGGATTCTTCAAGTGATTATACATCGGATGTGAGTCTATAAAATGTGATAAGTTTCGCTCGAAAGGGTGGTGACAGTTCTGGCTTTTTATAAAATTGGGACAATTGAAGTCCCTCGTTATGAGAACATGAGTACACTTTACTGAGGCAGCGTTTCTCATAGTCTGCAAGAGTGCCTCGTTAGGTAAGTCTGAGGCTGCAGGAGGGCGGTAGACTACACCGATCAAACAATTGTTATCTTTGGACAGCCTCATTGTGCACCAAAGTGTGTGAAGAGATCGAGTGGTTCACATCGAAGGTTTCTGCGGAAATATAGCAGCACACCGCCACCTGGTGTAGAACGATCACGCCTCAGCAGCGACAATCCGGGTAGGTGCAATTCCGAATCGAGAATATCGGCAGTCAACCAAGTTTCGGTAATGGCAACAAGATCCCACTGACCAGTTTGTAAGCACATTTGAATTTCACGGAGTTTTTAGGGAGGCTTGTGCCTTGGTGAAAAAACAAGCTTGGGAGCGTCTACTTAGGAATCCGCCGGGTTTCGAATCGTTATTCATGCCGACCACTCTGCGGTCGACCAGCAGAAGTTTTTTGGGGAATCGGTTCTGCTACTCTAAGCTCCCGAAGAGAGGGAAGTGGAGTTTGGTTTTCTAACTGCGAACATCGTGTTACCTCACTATTCAACAGTGGTCTGAGGCGTAATTCTGGTGGTTCTCTTCTTCTGTTTTGATACCATGCCTGCAAGGCTGATGTGACCCTTTCCGGGGTACTGAGGGTTAATTTCATAACCCTTGGGCCGTTTCCACGGTAGTTTGCTAAACACGGAGGTTGACTGACTGAGGTAGTGAAAATATTATGGCATACAATCAACTCTTGAATAAACCTCCACTCTTTACAATCGTTTTGGTAACATGTGGACTCGTCTGGATCGTTTAATTTCGGGACTCCGTGAATCAATGCAACTCGTTTATTTTCCGACCCGCGTGCATCTACTGGGTTCGGGCGATGGCGCACACATTGGGTCCACGGTCGATCAAGAAGTATTCTTATACAACTCGAAACTTTGCCAAGAAGGTGTCTAGAAAGAAGAACGTTCTCGACGTCTTTCTCATCCTTCAAAGTAACGCGAAGTAGTTTGGGTTCCCCGGCGTAAGTGCAATTCAAATAACGAAAGCGTTCCATATTATCATCTGGAAGATTCTGTGGACAGTTGTGCTCCAGCGAAAAATTGGAGATAATGTTTTAAAAGGAAATTATTTATAAATCCATCCTAAACTTCGAGTAGTTAAAGATATACGGATTCGTACGATACATTATCGAGGTGCATGATATGGCATTTTGAAAAGAAGGCTTTAAAGATGGCCACGGGAAGGGATTGAACGATTCAGCGTGGCTAGCATTTTGTACTTACCTAAGTTTCGTCTCCCGCGAATATAACACATTTTCTTTATCAAAAGAAACAAAGAAAAACCGCGTTTTCATCAATCCTGAACATCAAAAGCAATTTCATCAGTTTGCCATTCACTGGAATATATGATGATTAAAAAGCCAATCCAGACAACAAAACGGTCATTTGTTACCGTATATGCTACGCAGTTAGTGAGCAAAAATAAGAGATCGACAGGTTGTACAGAGGCGAACTTTAAGATCCAAATTCATTCATGCACTTCTATCGGATCCGATAAGGACAGAAGTGAACCGAACAAGCCTATTCTACAAACTGAGCTGTTTCCAAATGCGGGATGTTAAATGAGTTATTTAATGGTCTTGGGTATTTGGTAGAATAATATGGCAGTGAACTGGCACTCGATGATGACATTTTGTACCTCTTGAGTATCGATTACCAGTTACAACCTGAAAACCGGGAGCCACAGGTTCAGAGTGAAGCTGATGAAACCGACGAGACTGGTCAATTACACAGCTCAAATCCACCGGGTATATATTTATTTAACATGTACCCAATTACATAGAATTGGCAAATGTACTACAACATACGAAGAAAAAATGTAGATAAAGCACAACTCATCTTTGCGAGCTTGTTGCGGGCCACAGACCCGGATTCGATCCCCAGTTGGGGCGATTGATTCGCACTGCTGATGAGACCCAACCAGGTGGAAACAGCTGTCCAGTGCTTCCTAGCTTTTCAATTCACGCTTCATCAACTATATACACGACGAATTCACCTTTAAAATTGGTTTTCAGTTTACTGTTTTCACTTATTTTCTACTTGGTTGTTGCTAATTTTGAACATATGTGATTTTAGTCAGCAATGTAAAATGAACTGAGCATTAAATGCAGAAACCGTGCAATGTGTACGAACGTAGTATATTTGCTTAGAACCATCTGACGAATTATTC